CTTCTTCTGAAGATTAACCAACACTGAAACTAAACCATTTCGTTTAAATAACGTATCGTTATTACATTTTAACAAAATATTTGTCTAATTGAAAACTTTGTATATATTCTTTATTGCACTAAAACATGCAGTAATAATAACAAATTAGTAACAAAGTAAGTAAAGGCGAACTTATCTCTAAAAGACATCTGTTCCAGTCAACTAAATACTGACATAGGAAGTAGTAAGTGGGCAGCAGTAGCGCAAGACAGAGAACTAAACAACAAAAATAAATAATTACATAATTTACAATACATCCACATTCTTTTTTTAAGTCGTTTAAAATATTATCTTACATGTTCCACCATCTAACTAGAAGTTTTATGACATTCCAGAACCTGCCTTTCGACATCCACAACAGGACTCGTCTCACCCTGAACGTGTTCTTGTTTGTCGGTACAGGATTAGCAGCCCCATACCTCATTGTGTTGCATCAGCTCAGGAAGAAGTAAGGTGAGCCTTTGTGTGCTAGCCCAACACTTGACAGAGGAAAAGATTTTATTAATAATAGGATTTAGAGACCTCGTTGCTAGCAATGTTATATTAGCCTTATATAGGATTCTTCAAAAGGGAGGTAAAGAGGTTTCTTCAGGGTCGGCAACACGCGTTTGCCACTTCAATGGTATAAACTTTAATTTAAAACGTAAAACTTCATTCGTGTTTCTACCGTGAAGCAGTTGTGTTTGCATGGCTGTGTTTCAGTTTGAAGGGTGGGATATGGCGTGAATTTACAGGGTACAGAGGAATAACACCTAAGTCATCAGGAATGGCAACGCATGGGGGGTATCATGGGCGAAACAGTATACTCTGTTATGTCCATGGTACTGCTCATGTCTATAGGCGACGGTTACCACTTTCCATCAGGTGGGCCGTCAGCTTGTTTGCCATTCTAAGTTGTATAAAAAAAAATCAGCCGCTAACTGTCCACTGCTGAATATATCCCCGATCCCTACAGAAAAGGAAGGGGTGACCTATTCTATGCCGGAACCTAAATTTCTAGCTATGTATTCCTTCATAATTAATTTCTGGCCAATTCGTCACGATGGACAAACTGTAAGTCCATCCGCTGTCTTTATTTCACATCCCTTATATCTAATATATATTATATTCATAACACATGCGGATTTATTATTTAATAAAAATCCAATGTAGTTAAAATTTGGCCATAAATGTTTAGGATGTGGTATAAACTCCTTGTCAAAGTTTTCCCTGCAACTACAATATGGGATCCTTTAAACAGAGTGTAGGTAAAGTTTCTTCAAGATCATCTAGATATTATAATACAGGAGGGAGGGATGGGGGCGAACATCCCCATTATTAACAATTTATTGTATTAATTGATAACAATATACTTCGTCCTTTTCGCGCGGATTACTTGGAATTCACTAGAAAAAAATCCATGATGGGTTTAATAAATGCGCCACGATGGACCAACTGCCTTTACTTCATTCTAGTCGTTACGTCCTTTACTAGTGTTCCGCCATTCTAAATCGTTAGCATAGACAAAGATTAAAAATTTATAAAAAATTTACTGTAATACAGTATATAAAATTAGAATTCTGAATAAATTATTATAATTATTATTAGATTAACTTCGTCTTGTTTGCCGCAGTTTTATTGAATTTAATGACAAGCAACTATTGATTAAACCACATAAAAGCCACAAAAGTGTGTCGGCACGTATACATATTCTATTATTCACGCATCAGTAGTAAAGACGTTCAAAATATAAAATATCTATTTGTGTGCCTACATATAGCTACGTTAATGTGTTATAAGCGTTAAACAATACATTATAGAAGAATAATCTTGAAACAACGAAGTTCTCGAAATATTATTGAATTACTCATTGTGTTTACAAACTTGCATAAGCTGACGATTCCGACTGTTTCACAGTATTTATTACTGTGAAATGGGATAGAATATATAGAGGGCGCTCTTGTAGGATTGGTTTCAATAATTATATACTTTAGGACTATCTTTATGTTTGTACAAACGTGTAAAGAATTAAAAGAATGTGCGTTAAATAATACGAAACAAATTATTATGTTACATTAAATGAAAATAATTATAAATCAAAAGGAAAGATTTACAATTAAATTCATTATAAATTCAATATATGTTTTTAAGTGCTTTTATTTTTATTTTTTTCAGATGATATGGAAGCCGTTACTTTATTATTTTAACTGTAACACGATAGAAATATATCTGTAGATATTTAACGTTTTTCTCAGTTAATAAATGATTAAAATTTTTAAATAAATGCAGTTTTATTTCATGTACTCATCTTCGGCAGAAAGTCGCGTTCGTAGAAACTACTACGGAAATAAAGTATACGAACGCAATAGTAGTTTTTAACTTTTTAATCTTAAAAGTAGACTTCCAAAAAAAAAAAACTCTTCACCCATTTCATTACTAGAAATTGGTTTTTATCTATTAATTGTAACTTACCAGTAGCAATTTTCAAAATGAACGCCCCACTAGCTCGTATTTCCAATAAGTTAGGCAGGACTGCAATGACCAATTTCGTAAGGTGCCACTCGCATGGCGGAGTACCTGGAGAGGTAAGTTCCATTTTCAAAGTACGCATTATGTAATTCTCATTTGTCTGAAAAAATAATTAATTAGACGTGTAAATAAGAATACTTGCTTTTTATTTATTATTAATATATATATTACGTTGTCAATTGCTTTGTTTTTCCACATTTTCAAGTTAAAAAAAATATATTTCGATGGGATACATTTTTATTATATTGATTATGTCGAATGATATATTTTAACAGTTTATAGCAATAACTAAATCATAACCTTATGTAACTCTTATTTAATTAATGTACAGTGGAAATCCCACAATTATGTAGAATGGTAAACAAGCTGATGGCCCACCTGATGAAAACTGGTAACCATCATCTATAGGCATGAGTAGTATTTACTGGATATATGTCTCTGTACTTTGTTTTTCAACGTTAGATCTCTCCTTTCAAACTAGTACACGGCAAACACAGTTGCTTCACAACAAAAACACAATTAGAATAGACTATCTGTGTCTGTGTGTTTCAAAAAATGGCTTTTGCATAGTATATTAACTTACATTATATAGATAGTCTTCATACAAAGGTTTCGAGGTTAGCTGGTCAACTTTTTCATCAAATTTTGCATGACAAATAGTTATGATTGTTTCCTTTTTTTTTATACAACTTAGAATGGCAAACAAGCTAACGGCCCACCTGATGGAAAGTGGTAACCGTCGCCTATAGACATGAGCAGTACTATGGACATATCAGAGTATACTGTTTCGCCCATGATAACCCCCATGGGTTGCCATTCCTGAGGACTCAGGTGTTATTCTTCTGTACTCAGTAAATTCAAGCCATATCCCACCCTTCAAACCGAAACAGCCATGCAAACACAACTGCTTCACGGTAGAAACACAAATGGGACAGAAGTACTCAAGCAATCGACTTTTGTACAAACTCTCCCTCCTTCTATGTTTATTTTGTTTTATAATTTATGCATTTTTTTTATTCGTAAAAAGGTATTTTATTTATTAAATATAGATATGTTAATATACATTATGTACATAAATATATAGAATACTGATATGAAAACAAGTCAGCTAATTAGCTGACAAAATGATGACCCGTTTTTGAGACTCAATGATCCATCTATATAATCTATTTATAATTCTTCATAATTTCCAGAACCTTCCATTCGACATCTACAATCGCTACAAGTTGACAGCACTCTTTACTGTATTTGTTGGGTCCGGACTCGCAGCTCCCTACCTCATCACACGCCACCAACTTCTCAAGAAGTAAAACAGGAAACAGTGAGTTTCAATACATTATTTTTTATATCCTATAAATCTGTTTAAAAGACTAATGACCAAATGAGAATATGTCACAAAAACAGATGTAACGCTAACTTTAGAAAAAGGAGACCCTCAATTCACTTGTCTTTTTTGTTACCTCATAAACGATCAGTTGTAAACCAATTAAAATTTTTTTTTATCTAAAAAAATATGCATATGGATTGATCCGATAGAAGTTTTATTAAAATCTGTTTACTAGTTAAGTTTTTAAATTAAAATAAGTGATTTTTTTTGTAAAATCACAATCTTAATTATATATTAATATGATCTATATTGATTATGGATAGTATCATTTTATTCTTTTTAATGTCCAATTTTTTGCCATTGACATTTATGGCTCATAAAAATAATGATAAATTCTCTATTTGATAAAACTATCATGGCGGAATGATTAATATTTTTTTATTTGTTAACAGGTAGAATAATTTATGTTACTATTCCAGAGGAATCAACTTTATTAAGTTTAAGCTAGTAATGTGCATAAAATATACTTGATGGTATAAATAAATATTTAAAATTGAAATTTTGTCTATTATTTTTTATCCTCTGTGAAACTCAACTAGTATGAAGTTATATAATAAAATAAGCGTATATATATTGTATTATTTTACTAATTGGTTGTTTTTTTGTATTGTATCATTCGTTAACTGTCCAGTGTTGGACATAGCTCCCTCCATAAGAGGCATGTTGAGAACCGCAGTTTTAGCTTTTGATGATATTTAAAAGGGATGCTTCTGCCTGCTAAGACAGGTCTTGGTTACCTCTTAAGTAACCTACGGTAAAGGGAGGCGGTGGCCTTTTCTATGTCGGAACCTACACTGCTACTGGTTGTTTATTATTTTTTTAATAAATTAAAATGTGATTTTGTAGCAAATTTTAGCTTTAATTTTGCTGTATTTGTTTAATACCTAATGAACAAGCAGATTTTGTAAATATAAAACAGTGTATAAAATAAATTTTTAATATTATTTAAAACATTTTCTGAGTTGTCAGTAAAGTGTAAATATTTTTAGCAGTAGGCAACCCCATAGCCCTTAATTAACTGTCTGTTTAAGATTGACAGTTGTCAGAATTTGACATTTGACAATTATTGTCATAAACATTACTTTTTGCTTCTCTGTATTTTCACAAATTACGTGAATATTTCAAATTTTTGCATTTTATTTTTTTTTACTTCTTATTACACAGAATTGTGGGCTTTTTCAATTCTATATGAATGTGATATTTCTTATTCACGATTACCGTTAAATATATATATAACCTGAAATCTAATATAGCGACAATACAATGCGATTTTAATTTCTATCCTAAAAGACCGGTAACCTCAATTGGGTTATATAAAAATGAGTGAAACCTCCTGCTATATCCTCGACAATGGTGCGTACACCGTCAAAGTGGGTCTCTCTTCGGCAGAGCCGAAGATTGTACCAAACTGCATAATGAAAGCAAAGTCTGAACGGCGCCGTCCGTTCATCGGCTCCCAAATTGATGAATGCCGCGATGCTTCCGGTCTTTTCTATATACTACCCTTTCAGAAAGGTTTCCTAATTAATTGGGACACGCAGAAAACTGTTTGGGACTATATATTCAGCAAGGAGTGCTGTCCAGTAAACTTCAATGAAACAGCATTGATTATTACTGAACCTTTGTACAATTTCGCGTCAATACAAGAAGCTATGACGGAAATATTCTTTGAGGAGTACGAATGCCAGTCATTATTGAGGATTAATGCAACTGATTTAGCTGAATACCATTATAGAAAGAAACAGAATAATCAATGCACCGTTGTGGTGGATTCGGGGTATAGTTATACATATATTGTCCCGTATATAAAGGGCAAGAAGTACAGAGAAGGTATAAGAAGGATAGATGTCGGTGGCAAGGTGTTGACGAATCATTTGAAAGAGATATTGTCATATAGACAGTTGAATGTTATGGACGAGACGTATGTTATAAACCAAGTGAAGGAGGACTCCTGTTTTGTGTCCCAAAATTTTATGGGCGACATGGAGATTGCTAAGAAGAAGGGTAAGAGTATTACCATTGTTACTACAGTTATTGCTTGTTCACTTGGTCTACTAAACATATTTTTTTAAAGAGAGTTTATAAATGTTTATTTAATAATTAAACAAAAAATTGGCATACCTAATAGATATGTAGTGTACAGGAAGGGATTGTTAGTAATGCGGACTACCAGTCCCTTTGCTAGCAATATACCCTGTCAGGTCAACCTTCATGTGGTTCCACCTAGAGAGTCTCCTTTTTTAATGGAAGACAATCAAATGGTAACCCCACCTGCACTAATGGTATATGCTAGTGAGGCACTAATGAGGGAGATGTAGGCACTAATGAGAGTAATCAGTGAGATGAAAAGGTAGGTCAGTTAGTCTCTCATGAAAAATGCACCTGAAATTCAGCACAATGGTTTCCAGGGGGAAACCTGACAAGGTATATAGCCAGCAATTGTTCTGGTAGTCCAAATTACTATCAATCCATTTCCCCTGTTACTCCTTATTCACTTTATTCACTTCACCATCTGAGCTGTATGTAAATTCATCAGATAGAGCCCTCCATTAATATAAACAAGCTTAGTGTTATAATAATAATAACAATACTTTTATTTGCTCTAGTTTTAGGTATAAAACATTAGATCTTATAAATTAAAAGAACCTTATGACTTTGTAAGGTTAAGGTACTTATATTAAGCATGCAAATATAAAAATCAAAACTTACATACATTTTATTTTTAAATTTTTAGTAACATTAAAAAACTAACTAACTTGCTATCACTTTTACAATTAATGTGTAATTTTTTGGTTTCACTTAAAAATACTTTATTGAAAACATGATAATTTATTTTTACATTTGTGTATGATCTTGAGTTAATACTATAATTGTTAATTTGATTAAATACATTTTTTTTTAAATTATACAAACAATAGATGTTAGATATTTCCTGTATTCAGAGCTACTAAAACCAAGGGTTCTCCAGGACAGAGGCCAGAGTGGAATAATAGAGCAGAGCAGGCAAAATGTATGGCATCTTGCCTGCTCTGCCACCCTATTGTTACGCCATTGGATAATGGGATGGTAACCTCTAACCCATTCTGCGATAACAGCACATACCGTGTTTACTATATACCCTGTTTGAGTATGAGTGGGTGGTGATAATGTCAGGTCAGTTGGTCCATCATTGTAAATTCACTAGAAATTAACTAAAATGGTTGGGAGGAAATGGATTGTTAGTAATGGAGTCAAACAGCTCCGTTGCTATTAATAAACTCTATCAGGTTCCCTGGAGAACCATTGTGACTAATTTATCATACTCGTCATGATGGGCTATCAGACCTGCTTTTTCATCCTCACTAATCATCCCTCAATGATGCCCCGCCAGTGTATACCGATAGCGCAGGCAGGGTTACTCTTCATTCCATTATCATTCATTAAAAAAAAAGGACTGTCTTTAGACAGGGTAATATTTAGCCGCTCTTGCGTTCTTGGGCATAGGTCGCAATCCATCGATAAGTGTCTTCTACGTTGCTCCCCTCTCGCGGGCTTGTAGAGCCATCAGCATTAGCCAGTGCAAGCGTTCGGCGAAGCTGTAAAGGCCATCTGCGGTCAACAGCATTATCATTCTTTATAAAATTCTTCAGGGTCGGCAATGCTTAAGTAATGTCCCAAGTATTGCAGGCGTTAATAGGCTACGGTAATCGCTTACCATCAAGTGGATCGTATGCTAGTTTACCACCTCAGTGGTATAAAAAAAATATCAGCTTGAATAAAAATTAAATGTATGGTAAAGTATTAGTTAAACCAATTCTTGTTTTGGAATAAATGAATGAGTATACTTTATTTGCATTATGCAATATAGGAAATAAGCGAGACAATAAATATAACGATACAATTGTATAAGTACAGTGAGGCGTCTTATTGCTGAGAGCAATCCTTTCAAGACAATTCCTTTTTCTATTCCAGTCTCGGAAAACACAATAGTCAAGGATTATGTTTTACCCGATTACACAACGATCCGGCGTGGCTACCTCCGCGACGTCGTCAAACCCGACGAAGACCTAGAACAGCAGACTCTACGATTGACCAACGAAAGATTCTCAATACCCGAACTCCTCTTCCACCCATCGGACGTCGGCATCCCACAAATGGGCATCCCCGAAGCTATAATACACTCGATCAATTCTTGCCCAGAAGAAAATAAGGAGAATCTCCTAGAAAATATTCTTCTCTACGGTGGCAACACTCTATTTCCTGGTTTCCGTGATAGAGTATACAATGAGGTACGCTCAATGGCGTTGGACCACTTCGACGTAAATGTTACACTCGCTGAAAACCCAATAACTTATCCATGGGAAGGTGGGAAACTGATCTTTAGAGATCCCGAGTTCTATTCCTTCTGTATGACGAAAGAAGAGTATGAGGAGGAAGGGAAAACGTTGGCCTTCGAACGCTTTGACATATAACGACGCAAACGAGCGAGGTTGTCCTCGGAGTAATCTGAAATGGACCCTCGCTCGGTAAACGATTACAGTATTGGACTTGGTGAAACTGTTTTTAGAATACAGACTGTAAAAGAACTCTTTAAAGAAGATTCTTTATTGTATTTTTTTTTTATAATTAATGATAAGACAGTTATTAGTAATGCGGGCTACCAGTCGCATTGCTAGCAATGTGACCTGTCAGGTCCCGCCAGCACTATCCGTATACGCTGGCGGGGCACCAGTGAGGGATGATAAATGAGGATGAAACAGGTCAGTTGGCCCTTAGTGACGAATTCATACAGAATATAACCAAGATGGTTTCCAGGGGGAACCGCGTGTAGGTCGACCTGATAACGTGTATTGTTAGCAATGGGGCTGTTCGATCCCTATCACTAAAAATCACTTTTCCCCAATAATAGGAATAAAATATAGCAATAAGTTTGATATATTATTAAGTATTACTAATGAATTCAATCTCTTGTCTATTATGGGTACTGAGTGCATACTGGGTACAGAGGAATAACAGCTGAGTCCTCAGGAATGGCAACGCATACATGGGCTAAGCAATATACTCTGTTATGTAAATGGTACTGCTCATGTCTATAGGCGACGGTTACCACTTACCATCAGGTGGGCCGTCAGCTTGTTTGCCATTCTAAGTTGTATAAAAAAAAAAAAAAGATAAATTTTCACTGTCTTTAGACAGGAAAAACTCCGCTCACCACTATAGTTGGCGACCGCTCTCGATGCGCACATTCTTATAGCTATGTCAATGTTTGGATAAATTATATAAATATCTTTTATAATGTGTAAGTAGATGCAGATATACTTATTATAATAAAAAAATGGTGGTACCATTTTTTTTAATAATCCCGCCACGTACTCCTCTAGGCACATACCGACTTTGCCTTAGGAATAATTCGTCTCTGCCTATTATTATTATAATTATGAAAATTTATAAAGATGTTTGTATGTTCGTTACTATATCACACTTGAACGGATTTAAAAGAAATCTGGTACATGGCTGCCGCATCCGCCTACTATTTGTGATTAACAAAATAACTGGCATAAAATAAAAAATAAAGACTTCATTTTATTAAAAAAAAAAAAGTAAGTATGAAGATATGAGTGTCAAAGTCAAAATATTCCATAGAGATTAACAAATCATTACGATTTAGAAAAAAAAAATTGTTTTTAACAACTTTAGCTAAAAACATGTTACTAAATACCGCAGTTTTATGCATTTCCCGCGGCTTGTCAGTAGCGAATAGAAATTTGCTGTCCCGTCCCGTAGCTGTGTCCATAATATCTCGCTGTGTATCAACAACGAAAGAAAGAAGCCTAGTGAAGTTTAAGAAACTTCAAGCCGACTTCCAGTGTGAAGATGGCAGACCGATTTGGTTGAAAGGCGGCTTCTGCGATAGACTTTTGTACAGTATTACAGTCATAGCCTGCTACGTCGGCGTCTTTATGGTGTTCGCTAACGCCTATGATAATGGTAAACCGCCATCTTGGAAGACTCGTGCATGCTAATTCTTAAAATGGCGGCGCGTTTTGGAGGGAAACTTCTGAAGAAGTTTTTGGCAAAGAACGCGTTAACTGTATTAACCCATATAAATGGAAAATTAAAGGTTGTGCGATTTTAGAGTTTTTAATTTAGTCTATTTTGTGTATGTAACTACAATATTGAGGCATGGAATTTATATTACATAATACATACTGTTTAAAAATATTAAAAATGTACTTCAAACTTTTATGGTTTGATTTATGATGAACGAAATGTTAAGCTTCATTTACTAAAGCGATTTCGGTATAAACAAAAACAAGAAATTGAATCTGAAAATTCGAATTTCATTTCATGGTAGACCTTTTCTCAAAGGAACGTGGGTCTAAAATCAATAAAATTTTTAGCCTTCTATACATATATGGACGTCTAGTTTTGAAGTTAGTGTGGATGGTTCTTTTTTTGTTTCTTTCGGGGAAGATATAAAGTTTTACTGGTTTTAAAAACATGCTATTATTTTGATTTCATTCTGCAAACAACGATGTAATGATAGACGTTAATATTTGAACAACTTATTCAAATGTTCAATATATATATATATATTTTTTATACAACTTAGAATGGCAAACAAGCTGACGGCCCACCTGATGGAAAGTGGTAACCGTCGCCTATAAACATGAGCAGTACCATGGATATAACAGAGTATACTGTTTCGCCCATGATACCCCCATGCGTTGCCATACCTGAGGACTCAGATGTTATTCCACTGTACCTTGTAAATTCACGCCATATCCCACCCTTCAAACCGAAACACAGCCCTGCAAACACAACTGCTTCACAGTAGAAACACGAATTGGACAGAGATACCCAAGTAATCGACTTTTGTTTGTACAAAGAGAGAAACTTTGTAGTCTCCCTCTGGCATTTTGTTTTTATTATTTCGGCCATTAACTGTCTCCTGTTGGACATAAGCCTTCACCATAAGGGGACTCTTGCCAGTAGTTGCAACGCTTGGCAACCGCAGTTAGTCTTTTAGAGATGTTTTAAGAGGGACGCTACTGCTGATCCCTCGCCCTTTTTTATCTCATAAATCCATCAGTTGTTCTAAATAATTGGTTTTACCACATATGAGGGTAAGTAGATGATGTACCATACACCTTAAATGGTTAAGCGTAAAATAAAACGAGTCGATAAAATAGCTTTTTAATTTATTAGTGCAATAAGGCATACATCACGTACACAACATTTCCCGTCCCGTCCCGTCCAGTTCATATACGGCGACATCACATTGTTCAAGACTTGAGACAAAAAATTAATACTTCCGGTAATCCCTATCTGTTTTAACAAATTTTAATTTTAAACTATCTCTTTTTTACACCACGAAGGTAGCAAATAAGCATATAGTCAGTCCGGTGGTAAACGGTCATTCTAGCTAAATTCCTCTCTGATACACTGTTAAAATTGATAAAACAGATTGGATATACCAAATACAATTATTAAAGTCAATTTAAACTGACTATTGTTCAAAATGAACTCAACATGTTGCATGTTTTGCAGAAATGAAATTCCTATTACAATATTAATTAAACAAATGCAACGAAGTTTCGTTTACAATATTCGACGCCATTTTGTTGTTGCTCGCATTAACAAGATGGCGGATTCTGAGAATACATTAGGACACATTGTTCATATCTTAAATTGAAGTAACTTAACATAGACACTGCAGTCTCTTAGTTAAAATATTATTTTGCATGGATAGGAAAGTAAAATAGTTGGAAAAAGAACATTTTCTATATTGTAGCCAATTTTAAAGGTAAGCAAGCTGACAGATTACCTGATGGAAAGTGGTAACCGTCGGCTATTAGACATTCAGTAAGTAGTTATTTCTCTGATAAAAAAAAATGTTACTATTGCGAATTTACATAATAACATTTATTTCGGAATCAATATTATTTCGAATTATTGACTTTTTGTTACAAACATTAAAATATATATACCAATCGGTCCAGCCGTTTTAAAGCGCTTTTCTTTTCAGACTATTTTACTTCCCCTTTTCTTAAAAGAACATGACGTTTATCCATTCATATTAATTCCACATTTACGGTATAAAATAGAAAAATTACATCAATACCAATAATTTTTTGTTGAGGACTCAGTATTTAGTACATCGAGGTACTAAATAGGTAGGTAGGTAGGTATTAGCAATAGTTTAAAATCAATTATGATATAACCTCTCCATTTCATAAAATAAATGTGTTAAGGATACGTCTATAGAAATAATTACATATCTAACTACATGTTTTGATGTGGTTTTATTCGATGGAGTCAGCGGGCGAGCGTACATCGTCAATTTTGAGTATCATCTTGACAAGTTGCGTCGCTAGCGCGATCTGTTGCTTCTTCGAGTGCAGCGACTCTATCACGTTCATAGACTTCATGTCGTTGGAACCTGAAATTAAATTGTTTATATTATATATTAACAATCATAGATTTCATGAGCTCTATAATTGGGATATGGCAGTGAATTTACAGGGTACAGAGAAATAACACCTGAGTTCTCGGAAATAACAACGCATGGGGGGTATCATGGGCGAAACAGTATGCTCTGTTATGTCCACGGTACTGCTCATGTCTATAGGCGACGGTTACCACTTTCCATCAGGTGGGCCGTCAGCTTGTTTGCCATTTTGAGGTGCATAAAAAATGAATAAAAATAAAAAAAAAGGCTGACAGAGATTTGTGGAAGACATACATGAGGGGAGAAGAGATTGTTAGTAATAATAGTAATAGAGGGGTCGTCCAACACTTCACTTGCCTGTATGGTGTCGGCACGTAAGAAGCTTTCTTCCCCATCAGTCGTCGATTCTTTTGAGTTACAAACTTTCATCATCATCATCATCACCTGGGCCATTATCTATCCACGGCTCAACGTAAGCCCCTCCCCTACATAGACTGTTCTAAGGAACGGGTCTGAGCTACTGCATTCACTCGCTTCCTGCAATGCATTCGAGGCTGTCGTTCCATCTAGACGTCGCCAGTCGCCATCATCAGACGACGCCCCACATCGTCCTACATTGCATTTGTCCGTATGGTGTTGCCACTCAAGAACTCACAGGCTCACAAGCAGTATGAAACCTTTAAGCCTTAGGAGAGATTTTGCCTCACTCTGCGTGTTCTACCGCCTGTATAACGGATTGTGCTCAGAGGAATTGTTCAATATGATGCCCACAGCCACTTTCTACCATCGTACGGCTCGCCATCGACAGGGAGTTCATCCTCATGTCCTACAGCATCAATGGTCGTGTACTGCGCGGTTTCAGAGATGTTTCCTCGCACGAACACTCAGGTTGTGGAATGAGCTCCCTGCCGAGATTTTCCCAAGAGACTATAGCATGGGGTTCTATCAAAGGGCCGGTAAAGAGGTTTCTTCAAGGTCGGCAACGCACGCGTAATACCTCTGGTATTGCAGGCGTTCATAGGCTACGGTAACCACTTACCATCAGGTGGGCCGTATGCTTGTTTGCCACCTCAGTGGTATAAAAAAAAAACCTATCTTCCCCATCAGTTGTTAGTTCTTCGAGTAACAAGCTCTAGCATTTATAATATTAGCAGGATTACCTTTGCCCATACAGTCGATTCCCAGGTATGGGTTGTTCTCGGCCACTTGGCGCGCCTTCACCTCCGACAAAGTATCGATCGGCGACAGACCACTGCGAAGTTAAAATTTTTTCATAATGAAATACATTTTTATTTTATTTTACTTCAATAGTGACATATATAATACCTAAAACACACGCATGAAGGGAAAAAATTTTTGCTTATTTAAAGCATTTTGTTTTTTTATTTTTTGTACATGTATTTTTTTATCTTTTTTTTTCTGTGCATTTATGTCTATTGTTGTTTGTGTGCTGTAAGTAATGGAAATAAATTATCTATCTATCTATAATAAATACAGCCATAACATAAAGATTGCTCTCAGCAATAAGACCGCCTTACTGTACTTATACAATTGTATCGTTGTGTTTGTAAAGTGTTAAAAAGAGAGATGTTTTCTCCCACGAACACTCAGGTTATGGAATAAGCTCCCTGCCGAGGTTTTCTCAAGAGACTACAGCATGTTGTCAGATTGATCTGAAATTTGGTACACACATTTAATTTAGATGACAATACAATATAATAAAATCAATAACATTATAAATCTAAGATGGCCGCCGATACAAAATGGCGGATTACATATTTTTCCTTAACTCCCGCAATATGGATATCAAATGAAAGGGCTACACTAGTAAAACACGATGATTATGTCAAAATTTAAAATTCAAGATGGACGCCGGTCCAATATGGCGGACTAGGTACAAATTTTTCCACAACCACCACAATATGGGTATTAAATAATAGGACTACACTGAGACACCCAGACACTAGACACTCGGACACTAGACACTCAGACGCTAGACCCTCAGACACTAGACACTCAGACACCCAGACCCAGACCCTGCATACATCTTCAAAAGTGGGGTAGAGGTTTCTTTCAGGGTCGGTAATACCTCTGGTATTGCAGGCGTTCATAGGCTACGGTAACTGCTTACCATCAGGTGGGCCGTATGCTTGTTTGCCACCTTAGTGGTATAAAAAAAAATTCAGCTCTATTCAGCTTTTGTCCATAGTAAACAACGATTTTGTATGGAGACGTGTACGCATCCATTCGACTCTCCGCGTCTATTCTGCTTTCGCGGTAACTCAGTATAAAATGAGGATAAATGTGTGTTTATCATGCGAATGCTATAGAGAGCGTTCAGCGCTGTTCCGCCGCATTCACCGTCGAACGCGGCGAAACAGCTCTTTACACAGATGTTTCGCGACTCCTTGTCGACAAGTTGCGACCTGTATTGTTTCTGCATTGATTTTATTTATTATTGCGTAATCATTATGTACGCAAGGATTAAAGAGTGCAGATGTATTTTATAGTAAATATAATTATTTTACTTTTACGAAATGCATCATATTCAACGCCGTACGCAGTAGACAAGCGTTTCAGCGGAGATAGCACGCTATGACGGCTTTTCTCATTCTTACGACGCCGTACGCGGCCGATAGGAGCAGAGCTGAGAGAAGTGTGACCAAAATCGTTTAGCAAAATGCGAATGGAACTGAATAAAGTGTGAGTAGTCCCTAATACTCATTTTATTTGTTTTATTGTAAAATTATTTTATGATAACTTCAAAAAATAATTCAACACAGTGTAATTTTATTAGAAATGAATGGAATCACCTGTTCTCAGCCAACGCCAGCGGCACGGATTCGAGGGCGTCAGCGAAGCCCCTGTAGGAGTACTGCTCGAGCGACGACAGCTTGTCGGCCGCGCTCGCCACCGCCAGCGAGCACGAGATCTCCGCCGCGCCGCCGCCGTACACCACGCGGGAATCCTGATGGGAAATATTTATTTTATAGACTAGGGACTAACTGTGGCTTCACATGTTTTGCAAATAAAGTCATGTTACTCATTGAAATGAATTTAATAAATAGGTTTAGTATTAGATAGATATGTGAATACTCTTTATTGTTTCCTCCAAAAGATTATAATAGTATAGTACATTACTGCAGCGGCCAGCAACTAAGGCATTGATGGACGAACGTGCAAATGTGGGCAGAGGTGTAGCCGAGGCACACATACGTGAGTCTATCAATGCCTAGTTGTGGCTAAGGCTTTTGTATAGTATTTTTTCAAACAATGCGCGGAAATCAAAAACACAATTTTACTTTTTAACTTCAATGACGAATAACGAACAATTTTATTTTTCACGCGCCAGAAAACTAACTTCAATGACGAATACGAATCTATGTACTTTCCCCTATACGAACAATAATAAATCTGATTCCTAAACAGTAAAAAACTATATGACAAGAAATAATATTTATACTTAACAAAAATTTTTCACGCGCCATTTTTTTTTTTTTTTTCAATAAACAGCTTTCTATTTGCAAGCCAGTTTGAAATTTAAGTAAAACCTTGTATTAGTTACCTTCTTGGTAGCCATGTTTCGAAGTAAAAAAGGTCGTTCCATTTTTAAATTACAGGACAAATTTGAGTTTACATAGTAATTTATTTAGCCGCAAAAAACGACAGACACACAATGTTCGCCTGTAGTTGTCACACTTGGCAAGCAGATTGGTAATCGCAGTTAGAGTTCTGTGATATTTTAAATCCAGCAGCATCCCCGCTGCCCATACCTCAACCATTCCTTTAGTCGCCTCAAGGAAGATTCTAAGCCAGGACCTTACAGCAACCTTTGAGGTAGAGGGAATTAAAAATGAGCCTCCAGTTTTTTTTTGATGGGTGAAAATGGTATGGTAACCCCGCCTGCGCTAACGGGATATGCTGGCGGAGCACCAGTGAAGGGTGATAGATGAGAATGAAAACAGGCCAGTTAGCCCATCATGATGAATTCATCAGGAATTAACCATGATAGTTTCCAGGGGGAACCACGAGGAGGTCGATCTGGTTGAGTATATATGGATATATAAAAATCCCATTGCTAGCAATGGGATTTTTAGTCTCCATTATTAACAATCCCTTTCCCCCCAACCTTCAGTTTGTTAGCCATTCCCAATTGGCTCCAATGGGTAAAAACCGTCGTACACGTGTGTGTGTTCCGAGTTGTGGTCGTACCTGCACGAGGCTGCGTACGATGCAGAGTGCGTCGTGCACGGAGCGCTTGGCCTCGTCGACGATCATGCGGTTGCCGCCGCGCATCAGCAGCGTCACCGCGCGCGAGTTGGAGCACTCCTCGATCACCAGCATCTCCTCCTTGGACGTGCCGAACGCTGCGCGGGAAACAAGCGTGTTTTACAAACTAGAATTTTTATTATCACACTATAAGGAAATCAAAATCAAAGACAATCTTAATTATTGTGTTGGTTTTTTTTAATGGATGATAATGGAATGGTAACCCCGTCTGCGCTATCAGTATACACTGGCAGGGCACCAGTAAGGGATGACTATTATACAATAGACTGATGGGGCTATTTGACCCCATTACTAACAATCCCTTTCCCCTCAGATGGAGCAGATTCGTTGGCTCATCGTGACGAATTCAACGATAAATAAATCTGGTGCCCGCCAGTGTACACCGATAGCGTAGATGAGGTTACCATACCATTATCACCCATTAAAAAAAAAAACTAGCTCCATTCTTCGCTCATTGCCCTGCCAGCGTATATCGATAGCGCAGATGGGGTTACCATTCTATTGTCATCCATAAAAAAATTCTATAGCACAGATAGGGTTACCATTTCATTTTCATCCATTAAAACAAAAATAAAAAAACAGGTAAAAATAATAGTTTACTGCGTTAATTGCCATCTCTTATCTAAACTAACTAACTAGGTAAAGAGGTTTCTTCAGGGTCGGCAACGCGCGCGTAATGTCTCTGGTATTGCAGGCGTTCATAGGCTACGGTAACCGCTTACCATCAGGTGGGCCGTATGCTTGTTTGCCACGTCAGTGATATAAAAAAAATAAAAAATAAACTGTAATACTCACTCAGCTCCCTAACTAGTCCACAAGAGCCCAGCTTGTCCGGAGTGAGCTCCTCGAACCTGGGCACAATCCTACCACCGGTCGCGATGGCGATCAGCTCCATCTCGGGCCCTCCCACCCAGCGGACGGCCGGCAGATTCTCGGCCAGGAGGAGGTGGTTCGCCTCGTCGTCGAAGCCCCATTGACAGATTGCTAGTGTCGCTCCGGCGTCCTGGTGACACGAGTGAAATTTAAAAGAAATACCAATAATGGTATGTGGGGGGAAAGGGATTGTTAGCAATGGTGTTTGACAGCCCCATTGCTAGCAATATGCCCTATTAGGTCGACCTCCACGTGGTTCCCCCTGGAAACCATCGTGAACAATTCTTGTTGAATTCGTCACGACGGGCTAACTGACCTACTTCATCATTACCTATCGTCCCTCATTGGTGCCCCGCCGGTGTATACCGATAGCGCGGGTGGGGTTACCATTCCATTATCATTTATTAAAAAAAAAATGGTATGTAAAACTAATATCAATAGTACTTTTTCAAATTTTCAAAGCTTTAAATTGCCATTTTTTTTATGAATGCCGGGTTTGGAAAGTATGTTATCTATTGAGAAGAGCTCTTAGAAACTAAACAGTTACTCTTTTAAATCTCTGTTAACATTATGTGTATTTATTTAAATATATTATGTCTAAAATTACATGGTACAATTATGATTCAAGTAATTGTTTAGTGTATAGGTAGGTAGGCTTTGTTCAACAAATCTTTTTTAATAACAGTTTTTAACTTATTATAAGGCAAATTCAAATATCCTTAGGTATCTTATTATAACATTTAATGCCCATTCCCATTAAAGACCTATTAACTTTTTCTAAACGATACTTCGGAACAGCAAGTTTGTATTTGTATCTAGTGTTAAGATTATTGAGAACGCTGTTTTTAAACAGTTGAAGATTTCTGTGACGTGTTCTTTAATATAAAAAATGCTCAAATTTTTCTCTGTATTTAGCAGTAGACAGTTAATTGGTTGATACAATAATGATGACTTTATATACTGATGATATAAAGTCATCATATAAAGTCATCTGATGCACACGGACAAAATTGTGGAGAACATCCAATTAGTAAAAATATAAATGGAAAATTATGAAAAAAAAAAAATTGAATTTGTATGGAACAGCACTGTTACCTTGACCCTGCGCACCATCTCCAGGAACTTGTCCTGCTCGTACTGCCGCAGCTCGCGGTACTCGTCCGCGGAGCCCACCTGCAGCTTATGCTTGGTCTTCGGCTTGGGTGGCTCGAACGCACACGTCAGAATGGCCAATTTTGCGTCCTGAGAAAAAAAAAATTAAGGTTGTGTTCCACAAAAAAAAAACAACTTAAATAATTGTAAAATCATTTATTTCGATTTCAAAGCTGTACGAATTTTGATAATATTTCTATGGTACCATTTTGTAAGTATATCATTTCATATAAAAAAATAATTTTCCAAATCGGTTTACGAAGTTTAAAACTTCGCAAAGGTAGACGCAATGAATAATAAGAACATACATGCACTCTACAACGTTTAACTTAATAATTAAAAAGAGATAAAATTAAAACAACTTTATTTTTTTTCTATGTCTTAAAATCAACAAGGACAGTAGTCATGGAAACTAGAACAAATTTACCAAGATGAGTCACATCACTAACATGGACCGAGTAATAGCATCTTTGGCCACAACAGAATATCAGTGTTTTTCTCTTTTTAGGGCAAAGCAAAAAGCTGAGTTGTGGCCATTTTGTATTACTGTGGCATACGCATTAAGAGAAAAAAATTTTATTATGCATTCTGATTTTGTTTTTGGTTTTTTTTTTTTAATCTTTTGTACATGTATCTTTTTTTATCTTTTTTCACTTTGCTTTGGTGTCTTTTGCTGTTTGTGTGCTGTAAGTGATGCAAATAAATTACCTATCTATCTATCTATCTACGATCTCAGAAATACCTATCTATTACAGTTTATAACAAAATGAATGAATGAAAACCCTTTTATTGTTCCCTTCAAAGAATGATACAGATTATAAATATTCACAATAATAACAATGTACACAAAATGAATTAATTAATTATATAAAAGCAAGATAAAGAGGCAACAATGGGCGGCCTTGTCGCTAAATAGCGATCTCTTGCAGGCAACCTTAGGATGGAGAGGAATCACTAAAATTGTGTCAACATGGTCAAGGTACAATAATATGGTCAAATGGTAATATGATCCATAAAACTGTAGTTTGAGGAAATTATCAATTTAAAATATTAGTTTAAAGGATATGTTGTGAAAAATGACACCTCGAAACCTTATTACATAATACATATGTTCAAGGTGTTTGCCAAAATTCCATTGTCGTATATGTATATCATTAAAGTTGTGCCTGGTCAAGACGTAACAGAAAAATAATAAGACTAGACTTAGTAAGAAACATAAAAAAAAAACTAAACTGAGTCTGAATCACATTTTACTGTTACAAAAGAACCGCTAATAATGTTGGAATAGACTATTGTTATTCATACCTTAAGGACTTTGGGCATCTGCGGGTGGCTCATGGTCTTATCGATGACCACTCCGCGGACCAGCATCGAGTCCTCCATCCGGCCGCCGACCTTGCCCTCCACCTTGATCAGTTCGAAGTTCACGTCACGTTTCTCCAAGTCGGCTACCGACAGGACCGCCTGAATAAACCAATAAAATAAATTATTATTTGAATATAACACATGCTCCGTAAATCTAAAAAGGAATGTTGCGTTGGTTTGGTCATTTGGAGAGGATGGATGAAAGAAGAATTACCAAAGAGATTTATCGAGCAAGAATGAATGGAGATGTCGGTAGGGGCCGCCCTAGACGGACGTATGTCGACCAAATAGGCGACGTGCTGAAGAAGGGCCAAATTAAAAGTACCCGTAACCGGATGAAAATGATTGATGAATGTGGAAGAAGCGAAAGAGGTTTGTTTGAATCGAAGCATTTGGCGTTCCATTGTTTCTGCCTACCCTAATGGGAGACAGGCGTGACAGATATGTACGTATGTACATGCTCCAGAAAAATACGACTACCTTGCAAAAAAAAAAAAACGAAGTAAAACCCATAAAAACTAGTCTTAAATACATAAATGATACTCACATCAACAGCAATTTCCGCCATCAATCGGTGACACTTCACCACCACCTTGCTGCCGAGCGTGGTCATCGCCACTTTGATCAGGTTCTCCCTGGTGTTCCTGTTCACTGGGAACGCTTCGCTGATGCTGTCCAAGTGCTGGAGCGCGGTCGCCGCTGCCATCTCGAAGCCGTCGGCGATGCGGATCGGGTGGATACCCTTGTCCAGCAGATTGGCGGCTTGCTCCAGGAGTGCGCCTAAGTGGTACGTTCGAAAAGTAACAAATTTTTGCCGATAGATGGAGTTCTTTATCAATAATAACAATAATATTAATAATAAAATAGCTCACGAGGTGACTGAAATACGGGGGGGTTACATCCACAGAAATCATCCCAATCGTTGTTTTTTTTAACTAACTCATCATCTTCCTACCCTTATCCCAATTATTATTTGGGGTCGGCGTAATATGTTTCCCTTTTCCATTCTTTTCTATTCCCAGTCATTTCCGCATTCACTCCCATTCTGGCCATATCGTCCCTCACACAATCCATCCATGTCTTTTTAGGTCTTCCTCTCCTCTTATACCCATCTACATTCATTCTTAACACTTTTTTTTAAATACACTCCTCATTCCTGCGCATCACGTGCCCATACCAAGATAAACGGTTACTTCTTAACTTTTCTATCACTGGCGCTACTTTCATACTTCCTCTGACATAATCATTCTTGATTTTGTCCATTCTTGTCACTCCGCACATCCATCTCAACATCTTCTTTTTTTTTTTTTAACTAATTACAAATAATAATTTACTACATTTCCAGCTTGTCCTTTGACCTCTTCAAGATCAAGTTTTTTTTTTTCTTTTTTTATTAAATCGAAGCAACTGAACATCTCAGACACAGCCAAGGTAAATATCACAGTGCGTACTGCACATCAAAACAATATGTGAGTAACTTAAGGCATCACTGATGTTCAGTTATTTGAATTAATATTCAAATTCAAAGAAGTAAAGTAACCCAAGCAAACGACTTTGTACAAAAGTCGTTTGCTCGGGTGCCTCTGTCTCATTCGTGTTTCAACCGTGAAGCAGTCGTGTTTGCATGGCTGTGTTTCGGTTTGAAGGGTGGGATATGGCGTGAATTTACTGGGTACAGAGGAATAACACCTGAGTCCTCAGGAATGGCAACGCATAGGGGGTATCATGGGCGAAACAGTATACTCTGTTATGTCCACGGTACCGCTCATGTCTATAGGCGACGGTTACCACTTTCCATCAGGTGGGCCGTCAGTTTGTTTGCCATTCTAAGTTGAAAATTGTGTAACATTTTCTATAATTCTCCTAAATAACAATACATATAATAAAATCGTAACCGATCGCTGTCTGTACATGGAAGACATATAAGAAAAACTATTATAAGGGGCCTTCATGAGCGCAATAGAACCCAAAACAATGATTTTAAAAATGTTACGTCTGTACGTTTGTGTACGCTAATCTCTGAAACGGTTTAACCGTTTTGAAAGCGGTTTTCACTAATGCGCTACGGTTTGCTCCAATTAGCATTTATTGTTTTATTTCAATCGGTTCATAAATAAAAAAGTTATATCAATCTAAAGAGTCACATATAAAATGCTATAAAACAACCGATCAGTTGAAATGGCTGAACATTTATAAGGGTATTAGGTACGTAATTATCATTTAAGTATATAATACAATATAAGACTGGTTTCATTAAGTGTTCTAACGAGAATGATTAATGGAAACTACATAGAAGCGGGTAACGCAGCGGGAAACGGCTAGTAAAAAAATAAAATGGATTAGCATATTAAAAAAAAATATATATATATTAATAAAACTGCGGCTTTTAATCAAAACAGAATATCAGTGTTTTGCTCTTTTGAGGGCAAAGTAATAAACTGAGTTGTGACCATTTTGTGTTACTGTGACGACCTCACGAACTTAAAAATTATGAAATGAACTTAAAAATTATGAAATGAACTTAAAAATTATGAAATGAACTTAAAAATTATGAAATGAAATTAAAAATTATGAAATGAACTTAAAAATTATGAAATGAACTTAAAAATTATGAAATAAACTTAAAAATTATGAAATGAAATTAAAAATTATGATCTCTGTACAGACATCATCCAGTTACAATTTTACATTAGTAAGATTTAAAATTAATAGCATTTGTTGGTGACGTGAAATATAGAGTTGTGACTTCCTGGATCTAGATCTCTAAGTAATATGGAAGTTATTTTTTTTTACTGTACAGCATTTTACTCACCAGCTAAAACAACAACACCAGTTGTCCCATCGCCGATCTCATCGTCTTGACTCTGGGCCAGCTGCACCATGAGCTTTCCAATCTGGTGCTCCACGTCCATCAGCTTCAGGATGGTGGCTCCATCGTTGGTGACCGTCACCTCGCCGTCGGAGGACACCATCATCTTGTCGAGGCCTCGGGGACCGAGGGACGTACGGAGGATGCCGGATATTTGGCGCGCGGCTTGGATGTGAGACTGAGAAGTTGGTAGTATGTTATTGTGAGTTATATAATGGTAAACATAATATTTAAAGCTGTGTGGTCCCCGCATAGAATAGGCCACTCCTTCCTTTCCCATGGGTGTCGTAAGAGACAACTAAGGGAGGGCGAGGCATAGGTAGCAGCATCCCTCTTCAAACATCTTTGTAGCCTGACTGCGGTTGCCAATCCGCCTGCCAAGTGTGGCAACTACTGACAAAACCCCTCAATGTGGAAGCTTATGTTCAGCAGTAGACAGTAAAGGTTGATATGATGATGATGATGATGATATTGACTGTCCACTGCTGAACATAAGCCTTACCTATAGGGTAGTTATTCCATTAGTTGCCACCCTTGGCAGGTGGTCCAGCAACCACAATTAGGCTTTTAAAAATGTTTTAAGTGGAATGTTACTACCCATCTCTCTACCATTAAGTTCCCTTAGTCGCCTCTAACAACATCCATGGGAAAGTAAGGGGTAGCCTATGCTATGTCAGGATCACATGACCATGCTTAAAAAGTTACTTTATGTAATGATAAAATCATTCATGACTTCTTTTTCTACATGTGGTATTAATATATTAAAAAACATGGCATCCCTTATTACCAAAATAATAGTGCAAATAATTAAAATTGTTCCAGAAAACAAAAAAATTACTTCAATTGTGGTAAAAACCAGTCATTTTGATATAAAACTAAACTACTTAAAGAATTTTGATAAAATTTCTATGAGATCAATCTATAAGTTTTCATTTCAAGAATTTTCCAAATTCGTTTTGTAACAGACAGACAAATGAGGTAAGGAATTTTTGTTTTTTAATCAAATTTTTGTTGAGGCTTTGGTACACCAGAGTGAATATGCCAGCCTCATATGGATCGTCTGAAAGTCAGTCTGTCAGTCCGTCAGGGACACCTTTACCCACAGATGTATAAAATATAATTAAATTCAGAATCTCCTTTTTTTTTATTTTGGTTGAAAATATATCATTGTCTAAAATTTACTTAAATAAAATTATTAATTTACTCAACAGATAATAAAAATAAAAAATCAAAATAAATGTACAGGCAATAATAATAATATAATAATATATATTGGTATAATGTAATATATTTAGGTGTCTCCATTATAATAAATCAATACTCTGTCACTCTGTGTTTATGGCTAAATTAAAATGTTAATGTACCTCGCCATTGCATTATATTATATTTATTTATAATTTAAAATAATTTAAATACAATTTCCATTATTTATATTATGTTATTATCCATATTGTTAATATTTTTACTTGTATTTACTTGTATTTATTTGTATTATTTGTATGACATTTAATAATTTAATTCCATTTTAATGTTTGTCAAACACAAGGCATGCTGTGGTTGCCTATAAATGTAAGAACAGTTAGATCTAATCTACCAGGGTATTGTACTAAAATGTTTAGCTGTATCTTATGTTGGTAATCCTATAAATAAATAAATAAATAAATACAAGGCATTGTTCAAGTTTTATCAAACTGCAACACTGAGAATCATTGGGCAATCTTAGATTGATTCTTATCACTTTGTCTTGGACACTGATAGCACCATACACATACTTATATACTGTTATAATAGGATTTTCTTTTTCTTTTTTTTTATTTTATATTTTTTACTTATATATAAATATTTTGAGTGTAGTTTTAGTTAATTAATTAATTTATAGCAAAATAATTCCATTTTATATTTTGTCTATCATATTTTTAAATAACTAATTTTGAAAACATACTATTTATTGTTTGTTCTTTTTGAATGTTTACTATAGTATTATATAGTATATAATATATATACATAGTATGTATAACAAATTTCTTATGTATATGTATAAAGCAAAAAATATTTTAAATTTGGTATGCAATTCTTTGTAAAATAAAAAAAACTAAATATATATAATTTAAATAAAGTTATAATTTTAATATCTCGGTGTTAGTTTGCTAAAATTGGACGTAGTGTCATGTGACTCATACAAACACCTGGTAATAATACTGCAATTTTATGACTTTATACGGACGATAACAGAGCAATAACGATGTTATTTAAGATTTATAATGCTAAAATATTAATGAGAAATAGAGTCTCTTTGATGAAACTTGATTTTTCTATAAATTTAAGCGGATTTTGTGTGACAATTTTACCTAAGGTTATAATAACTTTTAGACGCAAAATTCTTTTAAGTATCAATATTTGTGTATTGTTTATTATACTACAATGTCTAAACAGAGTATAATAGCAACATAAAGTTATAAATAAACAATTTATCTTACCTTTAGTGCATCGATACCGGTAAGCCTTTTCTGTTTCTCCTGATCTCTTAAAATTATAAATGGTCGCCCATATTCATCAAAGGCCACTGTTCCTGGGAACATAGCCATTTTTCACCCAAAAATCACCGTACAAATTCAAGATGAAAAGAGATTAATTAGGAAAATTTATTGAAAACCAAATTATATTCTAGAAGGAAAACAATGAATTTGATTTGACAATTCAAAATTGTCAATGTCAAATATTGAATTGTCAATATGACAGTTAAAAAAATTAATCTACTTGATGTAGGTACACAATAAATTTTTTTAATGTTAGGTAATTAAATATGTAACAATTTTAGAAGTTAAAAGATGTATATTTACATTATTTTACATTATATATATATGAAATAAATACAGGATTATTACTTATTTTCCTGACATAAAATAGTACAGAGTATGTGACCATGTTCGGCATTGACATTCATACTAGTATTTTACTCGCTACCTACTTCTTAAGTATGAATTTCAGAAGTATAAATAGTTAAATTAATTAAATAAACCATTCCTTGATAGCCTCACTAAACGAAATGTACACATTACATTTTTAGAAATACAACTTTAAAACCCGTATTTTCCAGTATTACTTACAAATAAACATATGTACATATTTTTAAAAATATTGTTTTAGCATCAGTCGAGCTTATAGTCGAGCGTAGTTTTTTCTTAAATACCTTTCATATACAAATATCATTATTATATAATTTTACTATTTACGAGAGATAGGTAGGTATGTGTACTATTAGAACATAGATTTAGCACAGTACTACCTGCGACGGTAAAGAATGTAAGATGACATGGAACTAAAACAAAAGATAGTAGAAAACAAATACAAGAAAACCTATTTATTTTTTATTTTTGGCCAGTAATACGTCACATTTTAGTTTCATAATCCGTCGTTTGGCGATTACAAAGATTTGACCATAAGACATTGTACAAAAGGGATCGAGGGCTTGTGGGATGAGTAATAACAAACAAAAGTCAATTAATAGCGTAGCCTTTATTTAGTAACGGAAATATGGATGTATCATAAATAAGGAAAAGAAAACTGTACAGTCTTCAATAGAGAATGTAAACAAATTAATTATTTAACTATATGACAAATTGCTAACGTTCAATAGTAATACAAATAAAAATAATTTTAGATTTTTTAGTAATTTTATTTAGTCAATGATAATTAATTAATATCTAAAAAGATTACAGATATATACAATTAAGGTAAATGTCCTATATCACTGATTAATCCACTAGATTTTTTTTTAATAACTTGTAGTGTGCTTTGTACGATTATTACTAGGTTCCAAACCGTGATCTATTAATTTTCCTATAGATGTCTTGTTTAGAGATTAAACACGTATTGCGACTTGTGCGTAGACTGAATAACGGTCGGAGATTGACAACTAATAGGGAAGAGATAGTAAACCTTCTAAAAATGAAAGTAATTAATCCTCAAATATTGTCAGTTCGCACGTATACTAGTTGTAGCGAAATTATACAAAATAATTAAAATCAACTAACCAGTGATATGAACTTCGGTAAAAAAAACAAAAGTAAAATAAAAAAGGCTGTATAATAAAACACCACAGACAATTAAATGTTATTGTATTGAAGTAAATAATGCTATATACACTCCCTTATGTTGCCAATCATCGCACACCTGGGCCCAACTTATACAACTTTGGATCTGTATGTAGGCGGGCTGACACGCCCGCAGTATAACACGTACTTAAAGCTAGAACGTAGATATTGTGACTACTGCTGCTTACATTGTCAGCTCCTGTAACAAGAAATAGTTAAAGTTTTTATAAATAATGTTAACACATATAATTTTTTATAATGATGCTAATTATTATAAAAAATATGCCAGTTATAAAAAATATACCATTAACGCTAATGGTATACACTGGGAGGGTACCGGTGAGGAATTATTAGCGAGAGGAGATAAAAAAGTAGTCTATGTAGGGTCAAATGATCCATTAGGTAATGTAAGCAACTTAGGGATCTCTTATTGGCTATGAATCACGCACCCGTCCAAAAATTTTTTTGAGAAATTTTTGGTGAAACTTAATTTCAATATTTGTATCTAATGTAATCTTTGTACATCCAGTAGTGGATGGACAATGGGTGAAATGATGAAGATGATGATGATTATGTAACAAAACCTCAATGAAAATATATATTTTTTGAAAATATACATCAGTCATATTTAGGTACATTTCGTGACATATTTTAAAACGTTGAACTACTACTGCTTGGTAGTTTGTAATCACACATATTCATAATTTGAAAAATTTTATGTAACACCTAATTCTTCATCTGTTTTTTTTTTAGCGATATTTGAATTTCGAATGACGGTAAAAATAAAAAAAAAATACCATTTAAAAGTAAATAAAACTCATTATTACTTTCGTGAGTTGGCGACACTGATCGATGGTTCATGTGACACCACTCACCATAATGGCGTTGACGATATCCGACTGGTTGTTCCGGAGGGCGCGCACTGCGCGGGCTCGTGACACGTTCGCCTGAGACATCACTATCTCCACATCCTTCTCATCTACTCCAGATTCATCCACGCCCTCTTCATCTTCTTCCTCAGCTATTGGTGCCACAGTCTGGAACATGTAAACAATGTAAAGCATATTTATTTTTGTTGACAAATTACAAACATTGCATGTAAACTATGCTTTGTATAAATTAGGTTGGGTTAGATTCCTGGTTGGACCAATTTTTTTTTTATTTTATTAAAAAAATCCACAGCTTTCTTATAAAATAATTAACATACATCTCTTATAAATATAGGCAATAACAGATTTTTTTAATATAATTATTAATAGTAATAATTATTAATTTTTATTTTAATATTGCATTGCTACCAGAATTAAAGACGTGTACAAGATTTCAGCTAAATTGAACATCAAGAAGTAGAAAGAACCACTAAAGATGATGGAAAATGGCAACTGTCGTCTATATACATGACCTGTGGACATAACAGTGTACACTGTATCACCCATGATATCCTTCATGTGTTGCCATATTTAAGGACTAATGTGTTATTCCTTTGTACCCTATATTTTTCAAAATGAATTAAAAATCATGCAATTTTAACTCTTCATCATGTACATGAACTGACCGTGCCAGTGGATGTGGCATCATTGCCAGTGGCTGCACTCTCTGGAGCCTTGAACCTCTCAGCGGCTGCCATGGTGGCTTGCTGCGACAGATCCTCGATTTTGGCTTCACCAAACACAATGTAGGTGTCTGAGTGTGGATTCTTGTATACATCTGGCGAGTTGATCACAAACAGTATGTTCTTTGACTTCCTAATGGTGACTCTGTTGACGCCTTGTACCTGCAAATTGAAGATGAGTAAAAATTTGCAATCATGAAAACGGGTATATTGCTAGCAATGGGATTCTCAGTCTCCATTACTAACAATCCCTTTTCCCCTTCCCTAATGGGATTATTTGACTTCATTAATAAAAATTCTTTTTCCTCTTACAGAAGGAACTTATGTCTCTCGCTTATGGTTTTCTTTTAGGTATGTTAGCATTATTATTGTTATATTTACCCCTTTATTTATAAAAATTAAAATCTACAAATCTATTTTAACCATAACAGTGTTTTGTCACTTTTTTTATACTATTATGATGGGAAACAACAATATGGCCAGTCTGTTTGTTAATGGGATTACAACAGCCTAATATTAACACTAACATAATTCTGAAACTTCTGTTTCAGTGGCCAATTGCGAATATATAGGTAGTAGGTGTAGTAGGTGGTAGATGTATACAATAACTTACTGTAGGTCGGAACATTATGTTCATATTTAATTAAGATTTATCTTTAGCTGTTACAGCTTTTATCTTTGAAAACTTTATGTTCTCTTTCATTTAATTAAGATTTATCTTTAATGGGTGACTGGAATTATCCCCAGTTTTTATCTTTGATAAACTTTATACGTTCTCTTTCAGTGTCTCAAAACCACGTGGACTGTATTGCTAAATGGTCACTCCATTGACAACAATAAGTCCCCCATTGTATATATATTTTTTTCTAATGTATCCAATGTAAAGTAGGTACAATAAAAATATTACAATACAATACTAACAGGCTTTAGTCCCAGTTTGCTCATAATCTTGCGCGCTTTCTTCTCGCCTCGGGACTGTTTTGCCTTCGACACAATATCTATGCCAGCGATTGGGTTGGAGATACCTCCTGTGCCTGGTGCACCTAAAAATAATTACTACATTTAGCACAAGCATGATCAGTACTTGCCGTGTGATCTCTGCATAGAATGGGCTATCCCTTCCTTTCCCATGGGTGTCATAAGAGACTAAGGGATTTTTTTATTGGTTGAGAGATAGGCAACAGCACCCCTCTTAAATTATCACCATGACAATTTTATTACAGATTGGAGATTATTACATATTGCAGATATATTATGTAATAAAACTAGTATATAAAGTGTGTAAATAATATTAACTTAACATATAGAATAGTTTTATATACTAATTCATGCAGGCAAAGCCACAAGTAAAAGCTAGTAAATAAATAAACACACCAGCATCTTCCAATTCTGGAATGGTGTCATCAGAGTCACTGTCTGATGAAGCAGTTTCTTCCTTGCGCTTCTCAGTCATGGAGGCTGTAGCCTTGTCCAATTCTGTCAACTCTGGCATCTTTGAGTCTCCTGTGTGTGTTATCTTGAGACAAGAAAGGTGTCCTGCAAATTGTTAACTTTTATTCGTGAGGTTGTGGATGTGACCGTGACAAAAAGCACCCTATATCCTTTTCCATTCCATATAGTATGTGTATATCAGTTTCATAATGACTGCTTAACCCATTAAAGCAGAATAAGGTAACAAACAAACTCATACATACATATCTATCACACCTCTCTTTCATTAGGGTTAACAGAAACAATAGAATGTCATGGGGGAAAGGGATTGGTAATAATGAGATTTAACAACCCCATTGTTAGCAATATACCCTGTCAGGTCGACCTCTAAGTGGTTCCGCCTGGAAACCATAATGGTTAATTCTTGTTCAATTGATCACTATGGGCCAACTGACCTGTCTTCATCCTCACCTGTCACCTTTCACTGGCAGCCTGCCAGCATATACTGATAGCGCAGGCGGGGCTACCATTTCATCTTCAACCATAAAAAAAAATGAAATGTCAAATACTTTGACAGAAACAAACAAACACAATTCCATATTTATAACATTAGTAAAAATGCATTAAGAAAACTTTTTATTATTATGTATGAATATGAACAATCTTTTCTTGAATAAATTATAACCTACACAATTGCAATGTATTTGTTAGTATGTTTTTTACTAAATTGTTAAATACAAGAGAGTAAAGAAAAAAAAATATATAAATTATTACAATATTGTTAAAAACTAAATAATACTAATCTCCAATTTAAAAAAAATTGCCTCTAATTATCTTTAATTAAAAAAAAAATCAACAAAAACTACACTACTACAACTACCACCAGCTACATTAAAAGGAAATCCAGTTTTAGCACAAATTTCTCAATTAGTAAATATTTTGCTCTTTTTTTATGGAAGGTAGATGGAGTGAATTTATGTATGGTAAATATCATCCATATATATATATATATATATATATATATATATATATATATATATATATATATATATATATATATATATATATATATATATATATATATATATATATATATATTTAAATATGTGGCAAGCCAACATTTGAAAATATATTGTTTAATACATTGCAATAATTTTATGTATATTTATAACATCAATACTTTTTTAAATATCCAGCTATGGAATTTATAAAAAACATATTTAATAAAAAATATTATTTTTAATTATTAAATTTTATACAGTGAAGAAAAACTTTTAAAATTATATATTAGTCTAGTACTGTTTTTCGGATTTTGTAAGAAATAATCTTCAAATTCTCATATAGCCATTTAATGAATGTTTACTTACATGACAATCAATGATTTTACTAATTACCTTCAACCTAGTCATTGTAATTATGGTTGCTTTATTGTGATTTCTGTGCACCCACGACCAAGTATTATTATTATGGTTAATTTTATAATTTGAAAGAGTTTGGGTTGAAATACAATTAAAATTTCGTGAATTCAGTGTTATAATACTTATGGGAATAGTGAACGAAATATTTTGAATAAAAATAATCTCAAAAAAGCAATACCGTCCCTTGAATTGTCAAACTTTATGAAACCATCAGTCTATTCATTGGGTACACATCTATTTAATATAGATTGGCAAGTATAATTACTTTTAATTAATACCAATGTACATGGACTAAAAGTAAACATCACTTGAAATATGATAAATGAAAAATATAACTCGCACTTGATCAAAAAAATATACCGCTAAAACAGGCGCGGGTTCCAATTAAGGCGAGCACAAATTAAATAAATAATACAATAATAAATCATAAGAGCACTTCTATATACTACATAATTGATATTTTGTAATTAGTAATTACGATTTTTAGAATTAATTTGGATTTATTACCTTTAATTTAATATTAAATTCTTATAGATATTTTAGTGTCTCGGCTCGATTTGACAAGATGACAAGAAAGGAAATACAGATTATTACACTGACAGATATTTTCTTCTTATGTCTGTCACAGATAACTAATTTAATCTACTGAATAATGGAAATTTATTTATTCGAAAGAAGGTTATTAAAGAAAAACAGGACAGGAAATTTGTTACATGCACTTGTTTCTATAAATTATAATTATGATACAAAATAAGTAAACTTTAAGAAATTATAATTCTTCTTGAGAGCCGCCCAATCGCGACGCATTGTGTAAAGTAGGTCTATACAACTGCGTTGTGATTAGATGGCATTAGAAGCAGTTGAACATAAAGACTTAATAGGAGGTTAGGTATCTTATAATGAGAGTTATCCATTGATGTAAGGACAATGGTGTGTAATCCTATTCTGAAATTTTTGGTGTAATTGTATTACAGTTCTCGACAGCCGTCCACTCTATTTGACATCAGCCAAATATACCAACATTGACATTATGACAGTTTGTCAAAGCCAACTGTCAGCCAGCTTGTACTATCTATCTTCGTGAGTGGTTCGAATTTTGCTTGTCAGCTCAGCTTGTATCTGCTAGCGATTCATTTCACAGAACAATATTTGTCGTCCGTCTTGTCTCTTAATTGTTTTTCTTGTATTGCCGATTCCCTATAATTCTGTTACAAGATATACGTTTATGACTGTCCAGTACAACAGATGATGTTTTTTATAATATTTTAAATAGAAGACACAACGTATAAATAATTTGGAAATTTAATTTTGGTGATGTGAATTTGTTATTACTAGGTCCAAAGTGCGTGTTTTATTATTGAAAAATAGTGCCCGTGTTTTATTTGGGTGTTTTATTGTGCCAAAATGTCTCTAGAAGAGAAATTTAATGCTGCTGTGAATGTTATAAGGAGTTTACCGAAAAGCGGTGAGTATTCGACTTGATTTCCGATACAAAATTTTCCTATCCCTTCTAAAATCTTATGTGGTTTCTAGAGATTGTAAACTTGTATATTACGTAAATTATATGGTTTTAATGACCCTAGATGTGTTTTAATAGATCTATCCAGACCAGACGTTTTAATTGGCTAAGGAAACTTGTCGTACATCCATAATTTTCGTATTGGAATATTACTATCGTACCTATAAGATTGTTCTTAGGAATTGTTTGTATCTATAGACACTAATTATGCATTTTATATATATTGTTTTTTACTTTAGCTACATTTGAGCTATTTCCAGTAACTTAATTATGTATATACTATAAAATAAATATAATACAAATCACTTTTATTTTTAAAAAGAGTAATCTCAGTATTAATAGATACTAAATCCTAGTTGTTTCAAATTGTTCTTTAGAAAAAGTTAATAGGTATTTTATGGGAATAGGCATTAAATTTTATAAGATACTAAAGGATGTTTAGGTTATATTATTTTGAATTTGATAATTTTTTCATTACAATAATAATCTATTTTTTATAAATACAAAAATGTACTACACATTACTGTTTCAACAAGACACATTTAAAACTATCAATATTAAGCTAGAAATTTGTCTAAACTAAAAAATTTATATCTGATATTTGGACATCAGTGCTTTTCTTAGAATTATATATTCAAAAATTAAATAATATAATAAACTTTAGTTATTTTATAATTTTGTATAGTATGATTGATACAATTCACTTTATATTTAATACTGTATTAAAATTCATTAAAAAAACAATAATGATAAAATATAAGAAACAAACTTTTTTAAATTGGCTTTGTATTCTGGGTTGAGTTCTATGCTTGATTTTTCATAGCACAGGATATAAATCCTTATAACAAAAAATAAATTTTCTATCCTCAAAAAGTGTTAAATAGTGTATGAAATTTTCTATGGAAGTAGTCCATGGGAAATCTCATACAGTTTAGAACAACTGGTTTATAAATTGTTATTGTAATTTATCTATTGGGGCTTTTGCAAGCTTGAAAGGTTTAGGTCATGTGACTACAAACAGACCTGTTTTGTCTATGCTCTTAGTGTCAACATGCAAAGCAGTTCCATTTAATCTATAAAACTAGTTTTAAGTGCTCATAAAAAGCCCCTTTTTGTCTCATTCAATTCACTGGAGGAAGCTTATATCCAAAGATAATAGAATATCTATCTTTCATAAGATAAATTTAAGTAATTAAGATTAAAAAATTAAAAAGTATATATATATATGTATATATATATATATATATATATATATATATATATATATATATATTTATCATTATATTAAAAAAAAACTGTCCCTAAGCATATCCACTGACCAAGTACATGCATATACTAATAAATGACCTTCAATTTGTCCACACTTGATAAAGAAAGTATGTAGCTATTTCATTATTATCTATAAATAATATAGATTGAAATGATAAATTGTTTATAATGAAATACTATATATCTGTTACTATGCTTTTCCTGTTTAAAATGATATCATAATCTTGTTTAATACTATGATAAATGTGACTAATTAGTAAATAATCATGTTTTACCATAAACTATAGAAGGCAGGAAGGTCATAGATAAATTATATATATATTTTTTGTATTATAACTGTATTATAATAATAAAAATTTGATAAGTGGATGTAATAGGAATGTGAATATTTAATAATATTTATTTATTTATAATAATAGTACTATGCACCTACTAATATATATATATATATATTTGCAATTCATGTATGTTTATTTTATTTGTATTCTATTTATCTTATATACCGAGATGTCGGTAGGGGCCGCCGTAGACGGACGTATGTCGACCAAATAGGCGACGTGCTGAAGAAGGGCCAAATTAAAAGTACCCGTAACCGACGAGCGTGTATGACAAGATTGATGAATGTGGAAGAAGCGAAAGAGGTTTGTTTGAATCGAAGCATTTGGCGTTCCATTGTTTCTGCCTACCCTAATGGGAGACAGGCGTGACAGACCTTTTTTTCCTGTACTTTTATGACACTAGATTACCTGCTAATCATTTTCTCCCTCACTACACTGGGTTGTCTGGAGAGAGAGAGTTCTCTTACAGAGATAACACCACCCTTGCTAATAAGTTGTTAATATAATCCCTGTATCTCTGTTTTTCAAGTGCAATAAAGAATATATATATATATAATACAATAAGATTATTTTTCATTTAAGTAAACTAGAAAGATAAAGTATTTGTAATATTTTTGAACAGTCCTTTTTTTAAGACTACTGCTTATGGGCAACTTGGTATTGCATTATTTCTTCAACCACCTTTAAAAAAAAACCACTCAATTGGATACCTCCTCTTTTTTTTTAATGTTTGTTACCTCATAACTCCATCAGTTGTGAACCAATTTGAAAATATGTCTTTTTATCTGAAAGAATATACTTTGAAATTGTTGTCATGTAAATTTTATTAAAATCAATTCAGTAATTAGGTTTTTAAATCAAAATAACTGGTTTTGAGACAATTGAAGAGTTTTCTTTTTTGTGGAACACAATCTTAACTTATTTAGGCAATGACAAGTAGTTTCAAAATATTGTGAAGTTTCATTCTGTTGCTATTTTTTTTTTAACACTGAGGTGACTAACAAGCATACAACCCACCTGATGGTAAGCCGTTACCATCACCTATAAACATCTACAATACCAGGGGTATTACCCTGAAGAAACCTCGTTATCTCCCTTTTGAAGAATACCATGCTGTAGTCTCTTGGAAAAACCTCATTGTTATTCAATGTAGTAAGCATTTGAAGAAATATAAAAATAAACATACAAGTGCAAACATAGGTTTCTCAGTTAGATAAAGTCAGTGGGAGTTGTTAAAAAGTATTAGACAAATTCAAATTTAAATCATCTTTAATCAAGTTTATTTATTTAGTAGTTTACAAGCACTTTTAAATGTTTATAAAATCAACATTAGTCTAAAGTAAAAAAAAATCTGCTAATAAAAAAAAAAAACAGGGAACAAATTAAGAGCCATTAAAGCCATTGTGATTGTAGTGTCTTATTATTTTCTTTATTAAAAAAGTTCTGAACTATACAGAGTTCAAAATTTTCATTTAATTTATTTTTTCCCATAATAATATTCAATGTGTGCAAATGAAAATAAAAACAAATAGCCAAATAAAAAAATATAGATGTTACTAATATGACAACAATCTTCATATCAAAAAATAAAGTATCAGAATTTATAAAATTGTTGAAAAAAAAGACACTAAATTAATTGAACATTAAGGCTGTATAAAATTATAACTTACTAATCTGCCATATTTATTAAAAATATTTTTTTTTTATCTGGAAACAGATCTCAGAACCAAATATTAGAGATTACAATGGACAGAGATTGCAAGTACTAAATCAAGTATGAAAACAATGCATACCATAAAAATAAATCTCTCTAATCTATGATGTAATACAAGTGACCAAGTTAAATGAAGGCCAAAATTATTAAAATGCATGCCAGCTGTTACTTTTATTGCAGTAATAGTATCTACATGGAAAATGACTTCATTTCTGCCATGTATTAGATATTTTTATACAAAATATAGATGTTTTATTGTTCTTTAATTATGATTGAAAACAGGCAGAAAGTATTAACGTTTTTCCTCTTAACGCTTTTAAACTAACATATGTAGTTTTAACATAGTATTTATATAGGTTATTGCAAGTCGATAATGTAACATTTTAATAAATAAGTACAAGTAAACTCAAAACAAATTTTATAATAGGCTCGTTTTATAACGTATAAACATATAACGTAGAAACGACAGCACGATATTTTATTATTGCTGAACATACAATTCTAAATTCGACAATAAATTATTAAATGCATGCATGTGATTTATTAGAATGTAGTAGACTATTTAAATGATTTATAAGAGTTTAAAAAACCACTCAGAAAGCGACAGTGCCCCACTCTCCCCGAAGGGAGCGAACGATCATCGAGGGCTGATGGTGAACCACCATCGCCCGCCTCACGCTCAGGGTACCGCGCCACGTCTCGTCATCGTGGCTTGTGTGCCCTCACATATTGCGAGTTTCTGGGTGAAGAGCTTACTATAGAAATGATCCTATGAAGTAAGGTCTTGCCGATACTCGTCGACGGCAGAGAGGTCATTCTTCGCGAGAGAATCTTTATAGCGCGCTGTAGAATCCATGTAGCGACATCTAGTGATAGCCGTGTAAAACTAGCAACGCGCAGCGCTTCGGTCGATAACGATTCGAAACAAGATTATTATCGCTTGGAAAACAGCGTGGCTGATCATAACTAAATTAACATGAGATTAATACGGGAATAACTTGTATCGATTATACAATTATCAAAATCGGTTCTGAATTGGCGAAAATAATTGTTTCACAAAAAAAAAAAAGAATGTCAATAGAGGGAAACCAGTTCTTTTGATTTACAAACTGTTATGAAGTAACAAATATTTATTTTGATTTAAAAACTAAACTACTAAGCCGATTTTGATAAAACTTCTACGGGACCAATCTGTATGTATATCCTTTTAGATAAAAAAAGATTTAAAGATTTCCAAATTACTTTATAAATGACGGGTTTATGGGGTAACAAACATTAATAAGAAATAAAACCTCTTTCTTTTTGAAGTCTGTTGAAATTGTACACTCGTGCGAAGCCGGGGCGTGTAGCTAGTTTGCAATAAAGTTTAACTATCGTTTGTTGTGAGAATCCCCATATGTGATATGAGCGTGGAAGGTCGTTTGAATATACATAGTAGCTACATCTACACTCATATTATAAAGAGGAAAGATTTGTATTTTTGTGTGTATGTATGTTTGTAGTGAATAAACTCAAAAACTACTTTGCCGATTTCAAAAATTCTTTCACCATTAGAAAGCTACATTCACCCTGAGTAACATAGGCTATATTTATTGCTAGAAAAGATTAGGGATCCTTACTAAAAC